GGAATGTCCGTATGGAATGGACGGGTGGCAACAAGTGGTGAATAGTTGTGACTGGAAAACACGTTTCGGCTAGAGAAGACAGCGCGTGCGCACCAACGGAAGAATCTGCTGCTGAGGCACGTGGAAGCAGGAAATAAGACGGCTATGGGGAAGTCTGGCATGACATTCCCAGAGCCGTCGTGTTTCGGATTTGACAGGAAGCGCGAATTGATCGCAGAGATGGCAACACTATCCACGTGCGACACAGAAAGGAACGACAAGTTGTCGAGTTGAATGGACGGGACAGGTCTCTGTAGTGGAGCATATGTGTCAAGAGATGATTGTCTGTACTGAAACCTCGGATCATGCGCGATCGTGAGCTAATGGCTTAGCTAATGGCTAAACGTCGTCTGTAGCTGATGGAACACAAGATGGACTTGGAGTTGGCAGCACAGAAGCGGTCACTCGGAAGAGCAAATTGCAAGGCCTTGAGAAGTTGCATTGCCAACAGTAACAGATTCAGCTGGAGCAGCATGCACATCTGCTTGCCACAATTTAGCAGCAGCAAGCAATGATGTTTGATCTCGTTAATTCATTGACTTCACGTCCACAATAAATGTAATTGAAACACAGGCAGCTAAGATAACATCATGCGATGTGACATTATTTTATGACACGTTTACTAGCGTCGGCAGACTGAAGCTTAGCTTGATGGTCAGAGCGCCCACGCTTTACACACTCCTGGAATCGACGCTTAAGCAGCTTGTCATCAGGGGCAAGTTGCATGGCCGCCCACATGGCACAGGCAGCTTCCTCGAACAGTCCCAGCGCCTCTAGACACTGTCCCTCCCGGAAAAGCGCCTTCGGCCATTTAGGGCGCAGCTTCTTTGACACACGCACATCGTGAAGCGCCAGCTTAGCATCACCCGCTCCTAGGTGTGCTGCGCAACGGTTGCTGTACAATACGGCGTTTGTGGGCATAATCGCGATCGCCTGAGAGTAAAGGTCGACGGACAACGCATAATCCTTTGCCAAATACGCCTTGTTACCCTCGTTCTTAAGCATCGTCGCTTCGGCCTTCTTCTCTTCGCTCACCTCAACGGCTTCGGGGATAGCAATATCTTCGTCCTTTTCAATTTCAGCAAGTTTCCTTTGGTTTTCAGCCTCCAACTTCTCCGCCACAGTTATAGACTCATTTTCTCCAGCAGAAGCAGCAGAAGGCGTGTTCTGCGTCGCCTGCTTGTAGTACGCATCCAGCTTGACCTTCTCTTCTGCCATCAGCTTGTCCAGGTCAGCATCTTCGAATCCCTTGGTGATAGGTCTCAGCAAGGTCACAATCTCGTGGTGTCCCATACCAGCTGCAAGCTGCAACGGCTTCGCACCAGCATCCGAAGCCAAGTTGGCTACCTTTTTTGTGTCCTCTAGGCGGCAATTCAAAAATTCTTGCACCACTTCCGTAAATCCGGTCTCAGCAGCCATGTGCAGTGCCGTGAGACCACCTTCCATCACTAATGACAGCGTTGCGCCGCCCTCCAGCAGCTCCTTTACCACCACGGGCTTGTTCATAAGACAAGCTAGCATGAGCGGGGTTACACCGGAAGCGTTTGTCACATCCGCCTTTGCCCCGAGACGCAGCAGCTCGGCCACGGTCTTTTCGCGATTCTCACTCACGGCAAAGTGCAATGCCGTACCATTTTTTGTCGTAGCTTCAAGCTTTGCCTTGTGATCTATCAGCAATTTTACTGTCCGGATGCTACCATTGGCCGCCGCTTCGTGCAAAGCCGTTGTGCCGTTATTCATGGCCGCATTGGGATCTCCAGAGTACGCCAATAGCAACTTCACGGCCGTAAACTCCTTCTCTCTGGCTGCATATAACAATGGTGTAGCTCCTTCCTCGTCTTTAGACTCTACACATTCAGGAGCTTGTTCTAGAATGTAATTAATCACTTTGCGACGTCCTTTCGCCGCTGCAAAATGCAATGCCGTGCGTTTATGTGCATCCTTAAAGTCCATAAAAATGTCTTTCATATCCGTTACACCCATAATTCGCATTGATTCGACTGTTTGCTTGAGCATTTCCACATCACCATCTACAATAACAATAGCAATACCAATAATAACAATAACAATTGATACATAAATCAATTCATATGAATTCTGTATACTACAAGACAAAATACCATGAAACACGCACTTTCTGCACTAGTAAGCAAGTCACCAACAATCTTTTTCTGTTGTTGATACTCCGATGCGCCTTTCTCCTTTTCCTTTGCGAGCGTTTTTGCCATAATTCCACTACCTGTCTCTTGTCTTCCTGCTAGGTTAATCAAAGGAATGGCTCTAGTTGACTACGTTGATGCATTATGATTGGTTATTAATCAATCTTTTTGTTAGCCAATAGACATCCAGTAATGAGACAACTTCAACTTGCCATGGGACCTGGGTACTCTCTAACGGTAGCATCGGACCAAAGAACAGCTTCACTCCGTGTGAACGACTTGAATATGAATGAAGATTAGTTTTGATTTGGCAAGCTTGAGAATACTTTGGACAATGTCGACAGTCGTTGGTGAACCGCGTGCTGTTCTGATCCCTATCGTCCGTATAAAACACTTTTAAGTTTGCAATGCTTGTTAACTTGGTGCATGAATCGATTGGTGTTTGATGCTGTCAATGATTCCATTACAGGCAGATGGAACGGAGGAAATTGAAGCAATTGCAGTAGCAGACGTTCTAACACGTGGTGGAATGAAGGTGACGTTGGCGAGCGTTGGTCGCAAGATGCAAAATATTGTGACCATGTCGCAAGGAACAAAAGTACAGGGTGATCTTGCGATTGAAGCCTGTGTCGATCTTAGCTTTGATCTCATCATGTGCCCTGGGGTTCGTTAGCCGTGCCTTGTTTGAGTAGCACCAAGCGATGAAGACTGATTGTTGCATGCTATTCGTTTATAGGGACCAGGTGCGCAACATCTCCATGATTCAGCCGAGCTGATAACGATGCTGCAGAAACAAAAACGTCAGAATCGATATTACGGTGGCATTTGCGCAGCTCCACCTCTTGTACTTCTTCCTCATGGCCTGCTTGAGTCTGGTCCAGCTACGACGTATCCGAGTTTTGAGTCCAAAATGGTTGGAGTGGACTACCGTCCAAAGGAACGGGTTGTAGTAAATGGCATGTGCGTGACTAGCCAGGGTCCTGGAACAGCCATTGAGATGGGATTGAAGCTTGTCGAACTGCTCTGTAGCAAGGAAAAGGCAAAAAGCGTCGCCGAAGCTTTACTTACGTCGGTCATGTAAGCAGCTAAAGGTGTGTGCGAATACAATTAGCTCGACATTCAATAAAACCATAGGCAATGGTGATACTTCCGTACCATTATTACGCTCTTCATGTGTTTGTGCTGCCTAGCGTTTACAATTACATTTATTGACCATGGGCGACCGTATTCGAACCAGTCTTGGACGTGAAGTCAATGAATTGATGAGATCAAACATCATTACTTGCTGCTGCTGAATTGTGGCAAGCAGGTGC